TGAAAACAAGGTCAGTTTAGTTGTTGTCACTAAATGTGTGTTAAATGAGTCTCGTGAATAGGGCAGTAAGGAGGCAGGTGTGTTGATGTGCACCTGTAATCCTAGCATTCTGGGAGGTTGAACAGAAGAATCACAAGTTCAAGCTCAAAAAAGAAGAAAAGAGAACAAACAAAAAACAAAAGTTAAAAAAAAAAAGTGCCAGCCCAGCCTGGTCAGCTTAGCAACTTAGCAAGACCCTGCCTCACAAATGAAAAAAATTAACAGAGGACCGGGGACATAGCTCAGTGCCAAGGCCCTGGGTTCATTCTGAGTACTGAAAAAGAAAATACAGAATTAAGGAACTATTGAAAAAAACCTTTTCAACTGAAGTCTGAGAATTCTGCTTCCTTTTTTCACTGTCTTATAAGAAGAGACAATTACTGTTACATTCTGCGAGGCAAGGAGAGTTTCTCCTAATCTCTTCTAAAATCTCTGAAGCACCAAGGTACAGTTCACCAGGCACATAGGCAATGTGTGGAAACTCCAGCAACTGCTGTCACACGCCTAGTTTGCTGACTGCAGCAATGTTTTTCGCAGGTCACATGGCCAAGGCACCAAGCAGCTGTGATGGGAACTGCTCCAGGGACAAGAAGAAGCTCGTCCTAGTCAAAGGCAGGGCAGACACCTGGAGACTTCTTAGCAGGGAGGAAGAGCAGCAGTTGATCCTGTGGAAGGAAGATGGAGCAGGGGGCAGGCAGAGGGAGGAGCACGCGTGAAAACAGAGAGCTCAGTGTGCGCCAGTCCAGTGGTGCTGTGCTGCGAGCTGGGGAGGAGAAGCATCGGGAAGATTGGAGAGAGAGAGGTGAGAAAGGCCGTGATGAGAAATCTGGACTCTCCTGGGGCTCGCAGTAAGGCCTGGAAGAGGAGGAATGACCACGATCACCACATCTTGAAAAACTAAGCTTCCTAGACGGAAATTCTGACCCCTCCCTCACATTTCTGTAGATCAGGGTCCTGCAGAGGATGAATTCCAGGGCGATTCTCAGGTACCCAAATCCAAGGGTGCTCAAGTTCCCTACGTAAAATGGTACAGTTTTTGCATATAGACTACTCACTGAAATGATTTCTACGTTACTTATAATACCTACTACAGTATAAATGCTTTGAGCAGTCATTATACTATATTGTTAGGGCTCTGTGACAAGGAAAAAGTGTGTACATATTCAATACAGATATAATATTTTTTGTGACTATTTCCCACTGTGGTTGGTTGAACCTGCAGGCACAAAGCCCATGTGCTTACCACACTCCGGGAGGAGTAAAAGCCCAGACAGTGAGACCAGAGAAAGCCTGACGTCCGCGGGGCTGGACTTGGGTTTAGACATTAAATATGCAGAGACCGAGGTGAACGAGGCCATACATAATCTTTCTTTCGTACTCTTAGTTTCTAGAGAAGATAATGTTTTAGTCACTTTCCTTGTCACTGGAATCAAATACCCAACACTCCCACCTGGGAGGAGGAGAGATTTATTCTGGCTCATAGTTTGAGGTTTCAGTCCACGGTCAGCCAATTCTAAGGTGGGAATGGCATGGTGGAAGGGCCCAGAGGAGGACAGCTGGTCACATCATAGCAGCAAGGAAGCAGGTAGTGTGGGGAGGAGCCGGAGAGGAAAATAAACCCCTCCGGTCCCTGTTAAATTTGGTGAGGAATTCTTTTCTGCTCTTTCTACTGTAAAGTTTTAAATAATTTATTATAAAATTAATCAGTGGGGACAAGGAGTGTGCTTCAGTAAGCTTAAAAATTCAAAGTTAATGATCACAGGTGTCAATCTATTTTCTATATTTGTTAGCAACATCAAGTAACCTACTGACTCCTTGTAAACACTTAAGTCTATAAGCAACTTGTTCCATACTGGTCTGACAATCTTAGACTTTTCTAGAAGCTTGGAAGGACAGCAGTAAGATTTTTCTCTTTCGAAGTTATATTACTAAGCACTTAACAACCGTGCACATTCTTAAATGGACTCCATTTCCAGGGGAGGTCAGCGAAGGCCTCCTCTACTAGTTTTTCAACTTCAATGCTCAGCAAAAATTATCTTTCAGGTGTACTTGTAACCTTACACGATATTCAGCAGTGCCATTTAAAAGCTGTCTTAGAGTCTTAATGTGTCAGACATCTTGCAAAATTTCAAATCTGAATTACTTTTTAATATAGTTAATTTTGATTGTGTGTCCAACACTTTATCTTGGGCTGTTGACACAGTAAGATTACATTACTGCAATGTGACTTCAGCCTGCTCAGATTTGTAAAAAGATTCAGCTGGAGCATTCAATTTCCAATGAACTCATCTAAATAAAAAAGGTAGTTAGCCAATGATAAAGTTTAATACACACACACACACACACACACACAGTAATTTCTTGCAGTAATTCATCTTTTCACCTGAAACTGTCACACCAGTATTTCGTTTGGCCTGCAAAGCCAAAGTTGCTTCTGGTTCTCACGGTCCATAGTATGACAATAATTCATCCACAAAATACCTGAAAATCCCACACCATGAAGACGGCAGGCCGTCCTCCTTGTGCCAGGGCTGCGGGTGCCCCTGGAGCAGGTTCCGGTTACTGTAAGTCCCTACTGCCGCCTTTGCCTCGGGGCTGTTTTCATACGGTGTGAACGTTTACTGTCACTGCTGCAGGTTGGCAACGTTTCGTGGCGCTCAGCTTCTTCCTTCCTAAGGGCTTTTCTGAACTCACACCTGACAGAGGAGGGGTGAGGAGAGGCAGGCTCTGGGTCCCTGGTGTCTGGGTTTCCATCTCTGCTCAGCCATTATTCTTTGCACCTCTTTGGCACAGGATTCGTGAAATGGGGATGGCAACTCTTGCCATGTGGTGTCACTGACAGGTGAGCATGTGATAATTGTGTGAAATAGTCAATGTCATCATGTAAAAGAGGCACATGGGCAAATCCCCAGTGCACACCACCTCTGTTATTGTTATTTACTAAAAAGGCACCTCTGTGCTCTGGTCTTGTCGAATGGCAAAGATTGAGCATAACTTTAATCTTCAAACATCAAGTGAGTCAAGCAGAGTGGTGGCACAGGCCTGAGATCCCAGCACTCTGGAGGCTGAGGCAGGAGGATCGTAGCAAGTTGGAGGCCAGCCTGGACTACATAGAGAACTCATTTCAAAAACAAAACAGTGGTTCCGGTGCCTGCCTGGCAAACTCAAGGACCTGAGTTTGATTCCCAGTACCAACAAAAAAACAAAAATCAAAAAAAAAAAAAAAAAAAAAACAAAAACAAAAAAACAAGAGAACAAAAAAACACCAAGCAATTTGGATTCATTCATTCATCCCACAGCTGTTTAGCAGCAACTCTAGACTACAGCCCCGTCTCAAAGAGCGTGGATTTCTTGTGAGATCTCTGTACTTGCAAATCCCTCTGAGCCGGTTACCAGGCAGCACCCCCAGGCTTGCCTGGCAGCCGGCTCCTTTAGTTTCTTGCTGCCCTGAGACTAACAGGTCCTATTAATAATAGCATGAAGTCTCTGAGGCCTTTCTTAAGTAGCACACTCCAAAATCTTGTGCAGTGTGCCAGTCACGCCCAGCACTGAAAGTGCATTTTTGTTTCCAGGCTTCTTTGCATCTTTTTTTTTTTTTTTTTTAAACCTGATGCCTGGACAGGAATGGAAGCCTTGTTTTCTTGCTTCACTGTATTTAGTCTCAAAAACGGCATTGCAACTTGGCAGAGTCTAAACAACTAATTTGCAAAATTTACTACACCAAACCTTAAGGACTTGGGTGATTTTTATTGCCATAAAAGGTGATTCCTCCACATAATTAAGTGCCACTCTTCTCTCTTACCTTTTTTAGAAGTTTTGTTTTGTTTTGTTTTGTTTTTTTCACATTGCTTCACAAACAATTGCCAGCAAGATGATACTTTAGGCCTGGTCTCAGATAGGATATGTGGTATCTGGATCTTGGTCAAACTCATCATACCAAGCAACAATTTTCTTCTTTAATGCCCCATTTTCTTTTCTCTCTCTCTATTATTATTATTTTTTTTGTACTAGGAAACAAACTCAGGACCATGGGCTTATAGGAAGGCGGCGGCCACCTTGAGCTAAATCCCTGGCCCTTAAATGCCCCATTTCTAATAGCGAAAGTCATTTTTAGTTGGAGGGTGGATGTTTAAGTCCACCTGAAGAAAACATCACATAAATACACATTAGCTACTGAGCCCCTCATATCTAAGAGTAACATAACCAGTCCTGCAGGACTAGTGAACCATGGTTACCAGTGTGTTCCCATTGGAAGTGCAGCACACTGGGATGGGTATAACTGTTAAGAGTTTTTTCTAAACCACCAATCTGGTTTTATGTTTACATATAACACAGGCTTTAAGTTTCAAAAGTGGATTTATTTATAGAGAAATACAGCCTCCAGACAACTCCCTTGAATCTGCTTTCCACCCCATTGTTGCCCTGTCTCCGTTAATATGAAATTTCTGGAGTCTGTTTTATTTCACCCTAATATTTTTGAAATCGGCCTGCTTGTATGCATCACAGCACAGAGTCTTCATCCTGCTCATGGTTAGCTGATGGCTGGGGTGAGCCTGTTCTATGATGTCCCATTTTGTAACGCATCAACCAATTAGTCTTTAACCCGAAAAACAATTAAAAATTATTTTCCCAAAAATTTCTTTTCCCCTCATCACTGACTCACCACATGTTCCCAGTTATGGAAGAAACTCGGTATTTAATTTGAATGACAACACAACGCATAAAATCTCTGCTTCCTTTTCAGTCTTCCTAGAATGATCTTAATCCCCTATCCTTTAAATATTATTGTTCCCTAATTTTGTTATTTTAAAATTTGTCCTCCTTTTTTGCTTTTGTATAATCTCTGTTGAAAATCTCAACAGCTCATCCAGTTTCTTTAAATTACTATGACATACAGATGACCCCCAATGCCTATTCAATAAATACACCAGGACATTAGAGGACTCTGACTTCCATTTAAAAAACAAATGAAACACTTCATGAGTTTACCTGCCATCCTTGCGCAAGGCCACACTAATTAATCTTCTCTGTATCATCCCAGTTTTAGTGTATGAGCTGCTGAAGCAGCACATACTGTTTGAGTTTTAACATACTTAAACATGTTTAGTTTTGAGAAGATGATTTTTACAGGACAATTATGCAGCAGGATCTTGTGTATGCCGAGGGTTACAGACGTGTATCAGACACTGTACCCTACACTTTTCCCTCTGCCACCCAACATCTCTGGCCTCGGGAAAATCTCTCTCTCTCTCTCTCTCTCTCATGCTTTGGTCAGATCACATCCCACAGAATCACCTGTATAGACATTCTGGCACTTAAAAATAAATTTAAATACTTTAACTGACTCAATCAAATGTTTGTGACACCTGGAAGCATCATACAGTTCCGCAGGACACAGCTTGAATTTCTCCAGAATAAGCCATGTGATGGACGGCATGGTAGGAATTATCTTCCATCACGCAGAAGGGCATCGCTATGGAAACTGTCACCATAGCACTGGGCCCACAGCCAGGTGGTAAATGAGCTTGTGCAGAATGGGGAGGAGTGTAGGGTGCTGTCTTTCTGGTCCCTGTTCCAGGAAACCCCAAAGCTTTGCACCTTGATAGAAAAGGCCTGCACAGGCGGCCAGGTTACAAAGGCCTCCCTGCTAAGAGCAGTCCGGTTTCCCAGGTCCCAGCTCGTTTCCAGGAAGCTCTTAGCCCCTGAGTTCAGAGTGCCGTTAGCAGCTCAGTTCTGCAGTACGCAGCTGTGAGCCTCGCCTGCTCACACTCCCAGAGGGCAGAGGGATGTACAAGTAAGACCTGTACCTTGTGATACCAACTGCATAAAACGATACCTTCGTGACTGTTATCCGTGGGGCAGAGGGAGGGAGGAAACCGTCTGCCCTCACCTGTACATCTAACAGTTTTCTTTTAAAGAAAAAGGGACAGAGGGGGAAGGTTTTTTTTGTTTGTTTTTGGTACCAGGGATTGAACTCGGGTCCTTGCCTTTGCGAGGCAGGCGACAGAACCACTGAGCTAAATCCCCAGTCCGAGGGAGAAATGTTAATAGCTGGCCTGCCACAGTGGTGTCTAGGTATCTGCTGTGTTGTTTCCTACATTTGAGATGGCTCATGATTAAACGTTTTAATATCAGAAGAATGCCCGTGGAGCAGGCAGCCCACAGACAGCTACTGTACAGTGCACACATGGAAGATGGACTCCTACCCCTAACAGAATGGTGCAATTCGGAGGGGCTATCCAGCTCCCTGTGGGTGACTAACTAGGCCCTTGGAGGTCACCAACTGTCCTCTGCGGTCCCTCAGCATGGTGACGTCTGTGGGGAGGACGTTCACTGCCCTGATCCACCTCTCCCAGCCCCAGGAAACGCCTGCAGACCGTGCCACAGACATGTCGTGGTGCCCCCACCAGCGCTGGGTCCCACTCAAGTTCCTCATCTGCAAAATGAGAACCATAACAGTATCTACCTATTTGGGCTTCCGTGAAGATTTAAATCTGCGGGTGACTGGTGCACCGCAGCTCCATAATCATTAACTATGATTGAGTAATTAACCCTAAATTAATTCTATTCTGAGTATCTTTCTTACACCACGGATGAAGTCTGAGGCCACAAGACTGCCCAGTCAAGACCTGGCCACCAAGCCCCAAAGGGGAAAACGAGATGGCTGCACACCCTCATCCAGTCTGCATCCTGGTGCCCAGGTGGCCAAAGCGTGCATCCTGCCAAGCAGCCCTCCTCTTTCTGTCCCGTGTGAGCCCCCGCACTGCTAACACAAACCCAAGGGGAAAGAGACTGGCAGAGCACAGGCAGGTCCCCTTCTTCCCTGCCCTCCCCTGGCCTGTGTTGCTGGGCACCCTAGGGTGCTGCTCGAGCCTTCTGCTCAGTGATTCTCCCGGAGTGGCCCTGGGGGCGGCTTCACCTTTGCAGCCCAGAAAGGGCTTTAGCGATGACAAATAAAACTCTGAGGGATGAACAAAGAACCAAGAAACTTTACTCCCTACAGGACTAGGACCTCAACTTTTCACTCGGTGCTTTGTCTTTAAGAGTTCAGTCTCTAGGTCAGAAATCTTAGTTCTTCTGTTTTGTTTTGTATTTTTGGTACTGGGGATCGAACTTGGGACTTCGCACTTGTGTGGCAGGCAGTGGAACCACTGAGCTAAATCCCTGGCCCTTCAGTTCTTCTGTGCTGCGCTCTGGTGACCCGGTTCTCTCTGGCAAGTTCCTGAGGAATGGGGAGGAGCCAATCACCCCCGCGGCCACTTCCTACATCGCCTCTCCTTGCACTTAGGAGATGACCCGTGGGCATCCCTGCTGTCCTCGGACCTCCCTGAGGCCCTGGTCTAAGTGTCCAGTGCACCACAGAACCCGCAGTCCACCTGGTCTTCCCACGGTTCCTGTCCAGACTGGTGACCCACCTTGGTTCTGCTGCACTGAAGTCTGAGCTGTCTCAGGGCCTGTCCTGCCTACAGCAGCAGACCCCACCCCACTGGTTTACCTACCCCACTCTGCCAGTCTCTTTTCCAAAACACAACCCTGATGACAATACCTACTCTCAGCTTAAATAAAGCCCTTCCAGGCTGACCCTCCTGCTAATTCCAGGGCGCACACTCCTGGGGAGAGGCTGCTGCCATCTCCACTCTTCTGTGGGTTCTTTCTGTCACACACACACACACCTTTCAAATACATACATACACACAAATGGTAGCCAACTCTTACGTGTTGGTATAGAATTTTACAGCCCAAAGAAAACAGAAGCCTTCTGTGCTGTTTCGTCACACAGACATGTGCCTCACCACCAGCTTGCCCTGGCATCCCTCCTGTGACCGGCCCAATGCTCGGCACACCTTTGGCACTCAGTAAGCACCCTGGAAACACTTACTAAGCCATGGGAAGGGCAGCCCGAGGGCAGAAAGGCAGAATCGGCTCTCACCAGATCAAATGTCTGCAATGCACACCCTGCCCTGGCCACTTCTTGTGGTCCCTGGGCCTGCAGCAAAGGACGGGAAAAGCAGACCACCTGGCCCCTGGGAAAGGGTAGCAGACCATGCCAGTGCCAACAGGACAGTGCTGAGCCAGCTGTCATCTCCAGTTTTCACGTCTCGCTCCCCTCCAGGGCAAGGCAGGCCTGGGCACACCGAGGGCAGGCTCAGCTGGAGGCTGGCAGGGCGGTCCTGCCTGTCCCCAGGCGTTGCTCAGGGTTTGGAGATCGCCTGGGAGTGATGTTTGCTCCCTTGACAGGTCCTCTGCTCCTACACAGCCCAACCCAGCTGCTGGGCAGGTACAAGGGCGGCAGTTTGTTAGAAAAAGGGGGGCCCACCAAGGACATTTCTCCACCGTGCCCTGAAGCAGTTTTCCATCTTGTTTCTGCAGCAATGCAGGAAAAGCGGCTTTGGTCACCAGTACACTCCGGGGAAGGGTCCCGTGTGACCCCGCAGTGTGACCCCTCCTCTCCCACCCGAGAGCGAGCACCCCGGAACACGAGTGGGTGGAATGACCCTGTACAGTCTGCTTTGAATCGCTCTACCTGTGGTGCAGTACGCATCTTACTTTGCCACACAGGTGGACGAGACTTTTCATGTTTGTTTTGTTTTTTCCCCCAGGTGGCCTTGTGTGGGAGCCCACGTTTTGATCCCCTCATCTCCAATCCCTTCCCGGGCTCCAGGCTTGAGAAAACACCCACCAGGATGTCTGCACAAACACTCAAATTCGGCCTCCAAACCAAACCTCTCTGAGGCGAGGCTAGCTTCCCACTCTGAAAGAAGGAATCATATATAGGAAAAACAGGATGCAAGCGAACAGCCCAATATATTATCCTAGCACCGAGTTTATATGGAATTAACTAACTGCCCACAGATTCAAGTGTGGCACAAAAGCCGGTGCCCGGCAGGGTGGAAGCAGCACCTCTGCGGTATTGCTGGAGAGGGGAGGATGCTCTGGCCTTAGGGCCTCCGCTCAGGACCGACTCCTGGAGAGGCAATTTCTAGCTGAGAGGATCAAAACGAGCGTTGTTCCACGTCCCAGTGAACTGCACCGAGCTCAGTCAGCATGCGCATGGGGCAGCGGTTAGGGAAATCAGGCTGTGTGGAACCAAGCGAGGCTGCGTTACGACCGAGCCCATTTCCAAAGCGATCTTCTCACTCCATCAACAACAGCGTGGGTGAGGCTGTGGGTAACTGGCGGACTCACCCATCACTGCTGAGCGCGTTCACGGACCAGTCTTTGCAAGGGGTCATTTCGTTAATGGCTATTCCAAGGTTTAGATGTTTGTGCCTTTTCCCCTGGCAGGCCCATGGCTAGATATTTACAAGACAAACATACTCACAAATGCATGGCAAGAAAAGAAAAATGTACAAGGACGTTTCGTGCAGAGTTTTTGCAACAGCAACACTAGGAACCAATGAAATGTTTCTCAATAGGGCTGTGGTTACGTACACTTTCGGACAGCCACACAATGGAGCTGTTACCACCTGAAGGAATGGGATTAATCACGAACATAAAATGGAGAAAATCCTCTCGGATACTCATCAAATTAAAGGGCAAAGTGCATATAAAATGCTTTTTTTCTGCAAAAAATACATGAACTGTTAACACAGCTATTTTTCTAATAATGTACGTATGCTCTATAAAAATATACACTACCTGGCAAGCTGTAGATCATCTCCCCCTTCTTTGAGTTCCTTGGTTATATGTAAATCTTTATTTGTGTATGCACGTGCAAGGGAAGGATGCCTGTGAGACCCTATTTCCCAAAATGGCCAGAACTCTATTCCTGGTCTGGACGTCCTCCCGGGATCTCGCTCCTCCCCATCAGAAGGTGGGCTTATCCCTCTCCTCTTGAACCCGGTGGGACTGTGACAGCGATAAGGGTGCCCAGGAGGTGACACTGTGGCTCCTGGGGCTCCGCACAACACAGCTACACAGCCCCCGTGAGAGCCACGCTGTTGGGCACCATCCTGAAGCCCACCACGCCCGGCCCAACCAGCCCACGGTTCTGTGGTTCTGAGAATGTTCAGGGTCTTGTGAACAACCCCACTGAGTATTCCAGAACATTTCCATCACCCAAAAGAAGCCCTCTAGTGCCCAGTCGTCGCCTTCTGTATGCCTGGAAACCGCACCTCTACTTTTCTGAGGATTTGCCTATTTCCTGGACGTGTCATATCAATGCAGTTGTACAGTATGTGGCTTCCGGAACTTACTACAGTGTTTTTAAAAGTTCTCTGTGCATAAAATGAACACAGCTCGCACCTGGCTCACGCTGGCAGAACTTCACTTCTCCCATGGCTCGGTAACAGTTCATTCTGTGACTATCCCACTTTTGTGTATTCGTCATTGGATGGGTATTTGAGTTGTTTCCACATTTGGCTTATTAGGAATAAGGCGGCTATGAACAATGAATGTTCATGGACAAGTTTTATGTAGTCATGCTTGGTTCAATACTTGGGTTCAAGTATTTTTAATTACCCAAATACAGTGGATGCTTGGCTTACAAACAATCCACTCACGAGGGCTGGCTGTACGTATCGAGTACTTTAGTACTTAGTACTTTATTAAGTACTACAGCATTTCCAACCCAGGTCTTTCATTCACATAACCTCTCTCTCATTAAATCACTCTGAGTTAGAGACACACCAAGCGCTATTAAATGCCCTTCAAAGTTCCTTTTTTTATATTCTAACACAAAACCTATGGACACGAGGAAGGACTTGAGCACCACAGAGGTAAGAACTCCGCTGCGTGGCTCTGGTCCCAGAACCTGCCCCCTGTGGGACTGTCCTGTCCTCACTGTCACCTGCTGCTGGCCTGACCAGCGGGCTGCTTGCCATGGGAATGTGCTGTTTGCCTTGTGCAAGCTTAGCAAGGAAACGGGGAGATGTTTCTTGCTGCATAAGTCACCTGTGGAAGAGAAACCTTGGTTTCCATCCTTGCACTAACTCTTGGGTCCCTCATCACTGAGTGGACTTCTTCCTCCTTGGCCTTCTGCTGGCCAGGGACCTGCCACCCCAGTGGAGAGGAGGCGACCAAGAAGGGCTCAAGGGACAAGGAGAACTGCATACTTTGACTGCAGACACCTTGGCCAGGCAGCAGAGTTCCTTGCCTCCCAGGCGACACAAGCTACCCTAACAGGGACCCTCAGTCCAGTCTCCCAGGCACTTCCCCGTCTTCTTAGAGCCCCACACACTATGGAAGGGGCAGCCTGCCCCGATCCCGGGTCGCACGTCAACTGTTTGACCCGTGGAATTATTCATACAGCATTTCCAGGATACATCTGAGGATGCAGCGGTAATGTGTGTCTATCCAGAGGCCAACCCGGAGGCAAAGACTTCCCAAGACCAAGAAATTAATTTGGGAGGCGCAACAAACAGGACGGGGAGGAGAAAAGAGGAGGTGAGGCTGATGCATATTCAGTGGGCTGCTTCTGCAGATGGAGGCTGCTCGATCCCACAGGAAACCTGGAAAGCAGCACAACACATGGCTTGGACAGTGCAAAGCATCGCCCCTGAGCGGTGGGGCCGGAGCACTACACTCGAGGACAGTCCGGGAGCTGTTAATGCCAAGCCCTTCTGGAAACCAGGGAAACCACCGGAGAGGTGGACAGTGGGGGCTGACGGCAGCTAGAGTGGGGCTAGGCTGGGTGCTGGGGCCACGGAAGGCACCAAAACAGCATCTGCCCCGTGGAGCCTTCTACCGAGGAGACATCCGGAGTGCGCTAGGCAGTGGCAAATTTTGTGGGCACAAGTAAGGCCGGGGAGGAGGGAGAAGAGGTTAGTTCTAGTCAGCAAAGAGAGCTGCAGGTGACCCCCGAGTGAAGACCTGAAGGGTGGTGGCCCACCTAGGCCAAGAATATTCCAGGCAGAGGAAACAGCAGCGCAAAGGCCCTGAGGCAGGTGTGTGTACGCAGAGTGTGAGGGGTCAGCAGAGAGGCCATGCAGAGGAGGGCCTTGCTGGCCCCTGGGGTGCTGCAGACTCTTAGCTGGAGCAAGGACAAAAGCCATGGAGTGGGCCATGCAGCTGCCACGCAGAGACTGCAGCACCGTGGGGCACAGGAAGAAGCAGGAACAGCAGGGGACTGCGACACCCAGGGAGGTGGAGGCAGAGGAGTGAGAAGCAGCGGGGAAGGCAGAGGAGTGAGAAGCAGCGGGGTTCTGGCAATGTTCTGAAAGTGGAAGCAAGACCCGTGCAGGGCGTAAGAGAAAGGAAGGAGTCAACAGGTTCGGCCTGGGCAGCTGGGGAATGGAGCCGCCTCTTCCTGGATCAGGAAACTCCTGAGGGACCAAGCTGGCGGGTGGCAGTGGCAGGGAGCCCGGCATCTGGATGGGCAAGTGGAAGGGCCAGGAGATGGACGCAGGTCTGAGCACCGGGGGACAGGCCTGCCATGGACACAGAGCGGGAGCCTGGCAGCAGTTTGAGGCCCCAGGTGAGGTCTGGGCCGCCGTGCTCCGACGCTTCAGGGAGACGCATAGCGAAGGGGCCTGCAAAGATGCGGCTCTGAAAGCCAGACGTGCAGAGCGCTTCTGGACGGCAGTGGTCAGCTCTGGGTTAAAATTAGGGCTCTTCTCCTTCTGTGGATGCAAAATAGCATCACCAACCCTGCCCAACACTTTGTTCCTAAAGTTAAATTTCATGGATTCCTAGACGTTTTATGATTGAGGTAAAAAGCTGGACTATAAATGACAACGGCCATTGGTACTGAACACACTCTGATCAGGTGTCCACTATTCTAGGTGAGTGGTTAAGAAGAATATTCCAGTTAAAGCATGGATTTTAAGTTCAGCGTTTTAAGTCACTGTTCCCCACATCACGATTCCCTAAACTGCGGGACTGGGGCCCTCGCAGGGAGACGGACTCGCTGGCAATTAGTTTGGTTACATAGTTTTAAATGCTCTATGACTCAGAATTACATGGCGTGCAGTACCCAGATTAAGGCTCTGATGCATTCAGATTTACATTAAGAATAAGAATTGTCATTCACATCCATTGTACACCGCCCCTCTCGAGCCAGGGCGCCACATTTAGGCACAAACACACAGAAACACATTACTCAGGGGTGCGTATGCACACAGCATTTAAGGCAATAGCTCTCCGCCTCCCTTTTCTTCCCTTCCATCTCCTGGGAGAAGGGCTCGTGGCAATAGTGCCATCCTGTTAGTGACTGTGTAGTATTTCGTTATGTACTTGGACTATCATTAACGTCCCTCACACACTGTCCCCGACTGCAGAATTCTGCACTGCACGGCAGTGAGCATCTTGTGCTTTCACTTTCACAGCCGTGATGTGAGACCCTGGGATGAGGCTGCTCTGTGGCAGGATCTGCCCTTTCTCCTTCTGATTCCAGACTCCCTCCTAGAAGTCCTGTAGTCAACGATGGATTCAATCTCAGTCAGCCGGTGGTCCTGAGGGAAGCCTGCTGGGATGTTCCTCCAGGCCCCAGGCTGAGCCAGGCATGGTGGCACACTCCTGTAACCCCAGCTACCCTGTCTCAAAAAGTGGGGAGGACCGCGGTAAAACTCTGTGCAAAACACAGCTGGCTCTGATCCTAGTCCTCTCCCCAAAACCCTCTGAGCTTACGTAAGGAAGGCAGTCAGCCCTAGAAGCCGTGGGTAAGTCAGAAAGACTCAGGGGTCAGGTGGTCTGCCACACCCGCACTCGGCCTGCACGTCCAGGAGGCTGACCTCAGAGTAAAAGCCCAAGTCCACACGTGGCGGAAAGCTCCGGGCCTGCAGGGCTCAGCTGAGCCGGAGACTCTATCGCCCTGAGCCAGAGCAGCAGACGAAGGCAGACGCGCGTCTGCGAAATGACTGTAATTAACTCCAAATCTTTCTGCACACTTTATTTTTGCTGGCTGAATTTGTCATTTTTCTGTTAGAACAAGCTTGCTATGTGCCTCAGGTAGTTTTTCTCTACCTTGTCATTCAGAGCAAAAGCCTGATGCCCGCACCTGTCCGGGCACCTCCTGCGCACTCAGCAGCAGCCTTGAGAATAACATTCATTGCCGGCCAGGGAACTGCTGGCAGGCACGGTGTCGGGTAATGCACCGAGGGCCTTCAGACCCTGGGGAGGTGCCGAGCCCCCACGGGTCTTAGGGTGTTTAGAACTGTGTGACCGGGACGTAGGCTCTGCGGTTCCTGAGATGTCCCTTTACCATGTCAGTGACCACACACGGATGAAGCCACCAGCACTTCCTCCTGTTCTGCTCCTGGAGATGCCCAGTCCAGCCAGGAGGTCAGTGAGGAGCTTCCTTGGGTGTCACCACTAAGATCAGAGTCACTGCCGTCTCACTGCCGAGGGACCGTCGCTGGTGGTTTATGATGAGGCAGCTGCTTCAGACGTGCAAGCTCAGGCTCGAGGTTCGCAGCAGGCCCGGGGCTAAGTGCATCCTCTTCTTGTCCTGGCCGCTCCACGGGCCTCTGCTCAGAAGGCCATGTAGTAGCGCTCTGCCGTGCCCACGATGTCACTCCGGTCCTCCAGGAGCTCCAGCACCTGCTGCAGCACAGCCTCACTCAGGCCTGGGTGGACGCTCAGGTGTGCACAGGCCAAGATGTGCCGGAAGTGACAGCCCTTCTCCATGTCTGTGGGAAAGGCAGGTGGCTAAGCTCGGACATGCCTGCCAGCCCCGCCTCCGCCCTCCCTCTGCAAACCCCCAGAACTGGCATCTGCATTTGGGCAAGCTCCTCAGATGGTTCTGATGGGCACTGATATCAGAAATGCACTGCTCTAGATGATCTCTAACGCAAGTGTAAAACTCACGTCCTCAGGCCCCTCACGTCCCCACAGCGCCACAGACCCTCTGCTCTGAGCCTCTGACCTCCAACCTCCAAGAGTTCCCAAGCCGTAACTCCACACCCATCACCCAGTGGCATAGTCACAGGCATGTGTGCAGGTTCCCAGGCAGGAGCCCCTCGGTCACAGAGGAGCACATCCCTCCCAGAAGTCTGGTGTGATGCGGAGAAGCATTTCTTTCTACCTTTGGCCTGCTCCTGCCTCCTCGCTTGGCTTACAGTGAGTTGTCTGACAGCTGTGTTTGGTGACCTCTTACTCTACCCCAAGCTAAGACCACTTGGCAGGCAGTGACGAAGCTGAGGGTTGGTAACTGCTTTCCTTGTTGAAACCAATGAGTTAGAGCAGTGGTTTTCATGCTAAGGGCCATGACCACTGGGGCATTGTGAAGTCAGTTTTTGTGGGCTGTGATTACCATTTCTGTTTGTTTGAGTCAGGTTCTTGCTATGTTCAGGCGGCCTTGAACTCATGATCCTCCCAAAGTGCTGGATTACAGGCATGTGCCGACATGGCCAGCCAACGTTCTTTTCTTACTAAGCAGATTAAGATAGAGCAGAATAAAAAGCTGCAGAATGTACTGCATGACAATTAGGATGAGAAATCTTTTTAACCTCATTTCATATGTATCTTATGCATCAGAATAACGTGAGTTTTGGATCAGGACTAAAATATATTGCTTATTGAGTCAAAAGTGAACCTCGTTTCCAAAAGCAACCTGTCACTGGATTTCACATTTCAGCGCTCCATGGCCAGGCTAGGCATACAGCACCCCACACGCATAAGCTGCCCCACGGTCTGTGGTTGCCAGGGCCAGGATGGTACTCAGAGAGACGCTGTGCTGCTGGGATCACTGCATGACTCTCAGTGTGCCATGTGGCTCTCAGCAAATCACAGCACCCCAAGCCAGGTCTCCTCACCTACGGCTGGGGGCGAGAACCTCTGTGAGGTTCAGGCGCTGGTCCTGGACTGACAAAGAGGTGCTGAATTGTGACCTCTAGTGGCCTGGCCTGCTCATTACTCTGACTGACTGCTCTCCCACCTTTCCAAGCAGTTCCTTCAACCCGAGTCACCGTCTAGACGTGGACATCTGCAGGTGTGGCGCTGCATGGTAATGGGGTGGCCACTGCAGACCCAGGTGCACTCCTGCTCCACTAGGGGCAAATTGGCGTCTAGGACAAAAGCCACCACCTCACAGGGCAGTTGTGTGGATGAAAGGAGACTGGGGCTGCTGCTTCTGAGTGGGGAACTGCGGTGACCGTATCACGTCCACGATGACCACACAATATCCCACCCCCACCCAGAGACCGGCTTAGCCGGGCCTGGTGGTGCCCACCGGCAACCAGCACCTGGGAAGCTGAGGCAGGAGACTGCCAGCTTGAGCCCAGCCCGCACAACTGAGTGTGATCCTCTCTCCAAACAAACAGGGCTGGGGAGAAGGAAACAAGAAGCTCCAGCGCGTCCCAAGAAGCACTGATGGCGGGCGCTGCTGGCACGGCGGGGACAGAGTTCTCCCAAACCCGGCAGTGCCGCTCAGCTCCAGCCTGAGTCTCTGAGACACGGCTGCCTGGGCGAAGGCGGGCTCCAGGTGGCATGGCTGCGCCTGGGGGTGACCTGGTGAGGCAGTGCAGAAGCCACGTTCCAGTCCCCAGGAACCAAGACCCAGACTCTGTTTCCTATGAGCAGTAACTAGACAAGAGGACGAGGAGTAAAAGCAGCAAGCAGCTCCCTGGCCATGAGCAGCCTCACCGTCTCCCCTCAGGTCAACCCACCAGCTGCAGGTGGCCTGTCTCACAAGGAACTGCCCACAGCAGTGATACCCGAGCCTTGGGTTTTCCAAGTACTTTTGCAGGAAACCTTGTTTGGATCCTACATCCACCAGAAACCCAAACTCATATTAAAATAAATCTCAAGCCAGATGTGGTGATGCATCTCAGAATTCTGGGAGGCTGAGGCAGAAGGATCCCAAGTTTGAGCTCAGCCTGGGGAAGTTAGTGAGACTCTATCTCAAAATAAAAACATTTTGAACAGGCTGGGAAGCCTGGCTGTGGTGGTGCGCGCCTGTAATCCCAGCACTCAGGAGGCTGATGCAGAAGGATCATTATGAGTTCAAGGCCAGCCTGAACTACACAGTGAGACCCTGTTTAAAAAAGGGGGTAGTGCTGGGGATAGAGCTCAGTGTGAAGGCCTTGGATTCAATCCATAGATCTAGTATTGGAAAAAGAAAGAAATTGCAGCTACAATCTACTTACGACAAAAAGGTAGGAACAAATTACTCAACAGGAGTGTCAGAGAGCATCTCGGAGGAACAGAATGGACCTAGTATCTAGCTGACTAGTAGTAAACTCGGTTAAAAGGAAAGGTTATAAAGTAATATCTCGTGAGATGCTTCCCGCTAGATCTGCTTAGGTGTGAAAGTGAGGACGTCCCTCTGCTAGAAAACACGAGCTGCAGCCTTTTAGTGCCATCTATTGTACTAGTCTTATTTTTTCTGGAGGTTGGAACATTTTCAGAATAAAAAGTTGGGGATAAAAAGCCATCTTCAATGTAAAATTCATTCTTTCTGAATAACTTGTGATTTGTTGTATTCATACTTAAAACTGAAATCCATATATTTAAAAAAAGTTTTAGCTTAAAAATAGTTAACTCTTCCCTCTATATCACAAGCGCAAGGCTCTGAGTTCGATTGCTGGTAGAACAGCGCTGACTCCCTATGGTGATGCGAAGACGCCCGCGCCTTCCAGACCAGGGGGATGCAGCAGCTGAGCGTGGACCTGAGCTTCCCCGGCATTCTCAGGAAACGAGCTCACCCCTGCCCTTTGGTGGCCTGAGTCACGTGTGCTTCGCAAACACAGTCAGATGTTGGGTGTTAGCCGTTGGGTGGGCACCAGTAAGAGCTGAAGCAGATTCCCCCAAGGCGAGATGGGGCCGGTGCGCCAGCCTGGGCTGCAAGCCCAGCTCTTCGCGACGCCACGCGGTGCCCTGCCTTGGACAGGACCCTTCGGTCCTTGCAGGCCCCGAGTCGGGCTCACTGTGCCCATGGAAGCCTGGGCTCCAGTGACCAGCACTGGGTTGGCACGAGAGGCCGAAGCTCTTGGGACACAGGCAGACGCACCACCCAGCCCTGGCTCTCACACTGCTGCTGCCCACAACCGACGGGGCCGCTGTGGGAGACTGGTGCTGTGTGGGACCCAGGTGCTGGATGTGGGATTTCACCTGTGTCCTTTCAAGAGCATCTGCTTCACGAGTGGGTGGCGGGCACTTACATCTCTGCAGGCTCGGAGGATGGGCAACAGCTGTGCTTTGCAGAGGGAATGTGCTGAGAAGGGCTCTGACTTGTCAGCTTGACACTGCTTGATTTTTAATAATGAGCCTGTATTGTTATTCAGGATAATTTTTTAATGCATTATGAAGAGTGCCCAAGACGGTGACTAAGAGCCCCTGGGAACAAGCGGCAGGGCTTGTCCACCTCAACGCACTCAGGGCCGAGGAAACAAAGGGCCAATTCCTTCCACTTGCCTCACCGAACCGAGTGAAGTGAACAACAGTTGTCCGGTGGCATTAAAATCGCATACTGGTTTGGGACCCGCTGACCTGCCGCGGTGGGTTCTGACCTCACTGCGTCCTGCACACCGGGCAGAGGGCTGGGCCATCCACCTACTGACAGCCTACACTGAGTCCAGGCCCCAGGGATGCTGGAGCTGAAAAGGCTGGAGGTGGATTTGCGGGGATGAAGACAGCAGGGCTAGGCATGGGGTCGGTAACAACCCTTTACAGCGCTAGCGCCACATCTTCGTCTAAATCAATATTCGTTATTAGCATTGCTTGCAAAAGGTAGATTTTGCAGTCACCTTCAAAAGTGCCCAGTTTACACAGGGGTTAAAAGCAGGACTAAAGCTACCTTCTCTTTCAAACCAATGCGAAAATGGTTCACGCTTGCTGTGAGATCAGCAGTTTGCGTGTGTAGCCACTAGGGGCTGACCTAACGCCACTAAAACCAAGTACTTTCTAAGCCATTTCTTTTGCAAATTCTCAGCTTCCCAGATGACTGCACTGTACGTCATTCACAGTCCGTAATGCCTATAACCATCCCTTTCAACACCGGAAGGCCTTGATGTTCGTGGAGAAGGAAGATGAGGTCTATGTTCAAAGCCCGGGGGCAAGCGTCGACAGGCCGTAGTCCAACTCGGGACACAGACCCAGGGGAACGTCACCACACTTTGGCGGGGGTAGGGGCTGAGCGAAGTCTAGCAGCCACCTGAGGGGCTCGGCCGCTGGCCCCAGCCCAGCCTGAGGGAACGAGAAGCATGGGCTCAATCTTACAAGGCCCAAACCACTATGCCGGCCTCACACGCACCCTCGAGGGATGGAAAGGGCTCGGGGAGGAGGTGCCCCCAAGTCACTCGGGCCCCTCCACGCACCGCCCCACTTACGCTTCGGCTTCTGGCAGTCTTCCTGAATGATCCGGTGGATCCTTCGATGCAGGTCCTGGTCTTCTCTGGTTACCTACATAGGGAAGAGTTCCGAGAGAAGGCTCTTAGGGGACACAGTGGGTACATTGTCCAGACTGCCGTATCAGCACGAGGAAGGTCTCTAGGGCTTCCTCACAGTAACCTGCTCTATTCTGACAGCATGTCCGCATCCCAACTGCTCTGTCCCCAGCAAGGAGCAGCCGGAGTCAGCCAGGGACCTCGGCCTCAGGACTGTTCCTGGGGCCATGCAGGCGAGAGAAGCCAGAGCTCTATATGCAGCGGGGCAGCTTTCTCCTCACACCCAACAGGCTCCAGTGTCTCTCAGCTGCTGTCACAGCTCTGGGGCCCCAGTGGCCCAAGCCTCCACCCTCTTCCTCTGGGCCTGGCGCCTAGCCCAGGTTTCCTTGGCTTTCACCCTCTTCTAAGCACAAAGAAAAAGAAAAGAAAAAAACCTGCAAAAAGGCTAGCAAGAGAATAAATTCAGCCCACCCACTGAAACACTTTCTGCCCTCAAAGGCAGATACAACCAACCATGTTTCTTTTTCAACCGGCTCAGGTGAGAGGGAAGCAGTGACCATGTGGATTTTACTTTCATGTTCAACAGTAAATGTATAAGCAAAGAAAACAGAAAAGAAAAAAGGAGAGGGAAGAAGTGAGAGAGGAAGAAACTATACACGCAAACACACAGTTGGTAGTTTCCACTTCAGAGACAGCCATGGACTTTTGATCCCCGGTACCAAAAACAGACAGTCATGAATGCCTGGGACCTGACTTACAGGATGGGGATGCAGTAACACCCGCCTTGTCTCAGCTCACAGCTTACTGGGAAAGCTGATGAGGGAATGTGTGTAAAGCTGGGCCTGTAAAAGGCTGAGGCAGGAACAGATCTCAAGTTCAAGCCCAGCAACTTATCTCAAAAATTAAAAAGATTTTAAAGAGTTGGGGATATAGCTCGGTGTGAAGGACCTGGGTTCAATTCCCACAACTAAAAAACAGGCCCTGTGTGGCAGCTGCTTAGAGCTGGGAAGCGCCAGCTTACTGTGAGAAGGGCCTCCCTAGAGGAACCTAGGAGGCACTGGAGGAGTGAAGGGAGGGTGGAGTCGCAGCAGGGGACAGCAGGCCTTGATCACCCCATCCGGACAGTGAGTCACAGCAGGAAGAGTCCAGGCCTGCCGCACCACACCCTCAGTGGCTGCCTGTGGCTCTGCCGCTCCCCAGGGAAGGCTGCCCTTTATAGACCCGGCCGGGCCTGAGGGGACCCACCCCCAGGCCGACAGCTCCAGCCAACCCCGGCGCCTCCACCCCACAACAGGGGCCACACTGGCACCTCACCCTGAGCGCTTCCTCCACAAGTTACTCGGCAGCACTGAAAACTCCAGGACGCGGGCTCCTGGGCAAAGGGACTTTGGGACATGTGCCACTCAGGGCACCCCAGGGGCACTCCGGCTAGACGCCCTAACTGAGAAGACTCACTTCCTTGAGCTTATGTCCCGAAGAGACTCGACTCCAGGCTAGATCCCCAAGGTGAAGGGGGTGCGGCAAGAGGCCAGCTTATAGCTGGGAGAGGAGGCACACGGGCACCCCGGTTTAGGGTCCCGGTGGGAGGTCAGTGGGCACGGCCTGTGGGAGGCCGACGATCGCACTGTGCCACCGAGAGCGTAAATGCACGTGTCCTCCGCTCCCGAACGCTCCTCAGTCAGCCTTACAGACACAGCGCACAGGTTCACAAAGACGGCTGCACAGAGGGCCAGAGTGACACGGTGCCGCAGCACGACGGCCCGCCACAAACCTGAAGCAGGCACGGCAAACACCACGGTGTGGAATAGCACGAGGGTGTCAGGAGGAATGAGGCAGATGTCTAAGGACGGCTGGGGAAGGGGCCTGTGATGTGCTTCTGAGCATATTTAGAGCAGCAGCTCTCAGCTGCCCCGGGGGTTCAGCAATGTCTGGGGATATCTGTGACCATCACAACAGGGGAGGTACGGCTGGCATCAGGGAGGGAAGGACATGGACCCCGCTGAATATCCTATAAGGCACGGGACGGGACGGTCCCCACGGCAAACAGCCACCTGGCCTGCTCAGTGCTGAGGTGACAAGTCCGATTTAGAGGAGGGCATTTTGTGAGAAACAAAAGGCCACGGGAGCACATCTGAACACGTGCGCATTTGTGACCGTGTGGATAACGTCTGGAAGGACATACGGCTAAAGGAGAAAGGCAGGCAAATTTTCACTTCTGACTTTATGTGCCAACGACTAATTTTTAAAAAACGTAAGTATTCACTAGTAACCATATGCTTGTAATTGAAGCTACGAAGGGAAAAATTTAAGTTACGGCTCTCACATAGTACAGGTTGTCAAAACCACCATCCTTCTGGAAAACGAGTCCCTTTTCCTGCAGCAGCTGTATAGCATTCTTAAATATGCGATGTATGGCCTTGGAAGTGGTGGTGTTCTTAAACTCCATCTGTATGGAGAGAAAAAAGCAAGAAAAAAAAATGAAGAAAAGAAGTCAGTTCCACCTTACAGTGCCTGCAGACGCCTCCCAGACCGACTGGTTCAGGAATCCACCCCACAGGCTTCTAGTGTGCTGAGTCAAGAACGATGCAAGTGTGTGCCAGAGAGAGAAGAGAGAAGAAGCTTCCCGGCAGTCATGCTTGTGAACTGCTCAGGCTTCAGCTGTGATCCAGAGGGAGTGGACAATCTGCCCGCAACTCTCACACTGGACAACCTTTTGTGCAACATTTGCTCCTTTCCTCAGTAAGACCGAGGGGCAGAAAGACAGCATGCAGGCCTGCGAGACGAAAGGCAGTTTAAGCCGCGAGCAAGACGGACCTAACAGAAAGGCGTCCAGCAAATATAAACAGTGTGTGATGCTTCCTCTTCAGAAACCCTGGCCTCAGCTGACCTCGGGACATGTTTCCTGGCTTGGTGTAAAGACTGCAGGCTCGGGGGGAAGACCTCTAGCTCCCTCTTCCAAAATGCCAGCAGCTCTTCCTGGACTGGGATCTGTGTCTTATTGTTCAGAAAGAGCAGTGACACACTCATCCAGTTCAGGAAGCCAAAACTGCTCACTGACTAAAACAGCAACTGGTTGAACGAGCCCAGCCCTAGGGTCAGGTCAAGAACTGGGCAGCTCCCTGAAATAAATATACATAGTCTCTGCTCCCAAACAAACTGCACATTCATCCAGCTGTCAAAAGAAACAATGGTTTGCAAGATCTGCTTATCATGTTTCGGGATTGGCTAAGGGCCTAGGTGGAAAAAAAGAAAAGGAGAAACATCTGAATCCCTCTCCTCCTCTCAAATCTATGACACCGTCACAGTGACTTTGTGGGGCTCCACAGCACAAAGTGCCAAAGGCTCTCAGGTTCCTCCATCGCTATGAGCATCTTAGTCTCCCAGGGCTTTATTAAGTGGATCGAATGTACTGACACTGACCTCCCTAACCTCAGTGATGTGGCAGACTAATTCATAATGACGGAAAAATCGTCTCCAAAGACAAAGCAAATTCAGTGCCACAGCCATTCCTTTTTTTTTTCAGTGTTGAGTTTATTGGTACGTTTTAGGAATACAGTACAGTTACATTCATTGAGCCATTCCTTTTTAAACAAAGCACTGGGCAGACACAATTCTCTGCTCTAAAAAGCTAACGACCCTGGACTTCCTCACAAGTGGAGGAGCTACTTCGATGTCTCTCTGCTTCACTACAGCTACCACAGCGGAACTGGCTTCCTGGGCAGAATGTGGGCTTCCCTGGGCGCCAGTTCCTTTGCGAGTAGATGGATGCATCCAAAGGGCGAGGGCCAGTCTGACTTTGTGCCTCCTCTGCATGATTAAAGCAGGAAGGTCACTTTGTCAGTGGACAGCTGGGAAGCTGGGGACTGTTCAGAACGACCTTGGCAAAGGGCAAAGCACAGAGCCATGACCTTCTCCACCCAGGGGTTTTCTGAAACACTATCCCCCAACTCTCGTGAAATGCTGGGTCACTGGGCACATGAGCCTGATGGCAGGAAGAGGTAATTAGGTGTGCGAAAACAACTGAGAAGCAGTGGCCGTGCCCGGAAGGCAAGGGCGTGACCCCGGACCTGCCCCACCAGGATCACAAAGCACAATTCAGGGTCCCTAGCGAGAGTTCATGCATGCACGGTGGCCCCACCGGTAATGGAAGGCCAGGTCAGGTACCAGCAGGCTGCTCTACAGCACCAAATCTACACATACTACCAGGAAGGGACCCTGCTCAGGGAAGAGCTGGGCTTCTTCTGGGGCGCAACAGCATGCTGCCCCGCGGGCACTGGAGCGCTGGTGTCCACAGGCACAATCTCTACAGCACACTCAGTGGACCCGTCTCTGGGGACGGGGATGGGGACAGACGGAGGGAGGAGGGGAAGGACACCCACTTTTAACTCCTACTTCGGGGAACAATTTGAATTTTTGTAAGTATTCATTTCTTCAATCAAATAATTACTGAGAACCTGCTCTATCCTGCCTTGGTTAAGTTGGACAAGGCCTCTGACCTCATGGGTCCTAACTGTGAGGGTGTGAAGTGACATCAACGGGTGGTCAGGGTGAGGGGCAGGGGCAACCAGAACAGACACCTGGGAGGGGAACAAGGTGATATTTATGCTGAGATCATTTATTATTTTAAAGTACATGAGTCACATCACAATAACACCAAATTTAAGAATAAGGAAAGGAAAGCCTAAAACCAAAGTCTCCAATAATTCTTAATTCAGACAAACACCAAACAATTAAAAACATTTGCCTGGTTTGTAGATGGGGAGGGGAGGAGGGGGTGAAGGGAGGGCAGGGGTAAGGGGAAAAAATGAGAATCAAGACTTGTCATGTAGAGGTACAAGATCCCAACAATGAATGTAACTGTCCTGTATCCCTAAAATGTACCAATAAACTCAATTAAAGCTGAAAAAAAAACAAAACAAAAACATGTGCCTGTAACACTACAGGTTAAAAAAAAGGGAATGAAAATTAACTTCAGTATTCCGGGACTTTTACCTATAAACCAGACTGAATACCAACAATGAATGTCTGTCCTGTATCCCTAAAATGTACCAATAAACTCAATTAAAGCTGAAAAAAAAACAAAACAAAAACATGTGCCTGTAACACTACAGGTTAAAAAAAAGGGAATGAAAATTAACTTCAGTATTCCGGGACTTTTACCTATAAACCAGACTGAATACCACTGGATCTTTATTTAAACTCCTAAAACATGACAGATTAACCTAACTCTGAAGAAAAGCTCACGCATTATCCTGCCGATCAGGAACTCGCCTTGGGCACAAAACAAAAACATGTGCCTGTAACACTACAGGTTAAAAAAAAGGGAATGAAAATTAACTTCAGTATTCCGGGACTTTTACCTATAAACCAGACTGAATACCACTGGATCTTTATTTAAACTCCTAAAACATGACAGATTAACCTAACTCTGAAGAAAAGCTCACGCATTATCCTGCCGATCAGGAACTCGCCTTGGGCAGAGGGTGATGGCCTGCCTGTGCCCCTCCGACCACCTGGCTTTGGCCGAGACTTGGACACCCTCTCAGCACGGACGGCCAGGCTCAAGCCTGTACCAGCTTTCTACTGGAGATCAAGGGCACTGAGACCGGGCGGGTCCGGCCCCGTTTCAAACACTTCACATATGAGACCTTTCAGAAACAGAAGCAACACATGCCAGCACTGCGACTTCCGGCCCTCAGCCCACCCTGTGCGTCTCTCCCCAGTCACGGGCACCCACGCTGTCTGCCATAGGGCACACCCACCACACTCGCCTGGTCGGAGCAGCTGCCACGAATCACAGGCTGATTGGCAAGGGACAGCAGGGAGGCCACCGCTTCCAACTCCTGCTGGTAGAAGGTGTGCACTTTCTTTTCCAGGAGGAACTCTCTCACTTTTTCACTCAGCAAACGTGTGAGGCTGGCAAGGTCCAGAGCACCTGGATTGCTGGTGGGGGAAAGCTTTTAAAAGCCCCGCAGAAACTATCACCTCCCTTCCTTGGTATGCGTAGGACAGGAAGTCAGCTGAAATGCAACACTAGATGCAATATTATATTATGTCGATGCTTGTTACTGACATCAGTGGTAGCCCACTCAGTGAACATCATGTTTGTTTAAAATTATGAGGTAGAACTGTAAGAACTAACAGAGATATTCATGATAGACAAAGAAAAAAAAAGTAGAGCTGGGTGTGGTGGCGAATGCCTGTAAACCTAGCTCTCTGGGAGGCTGAGGCAGGAGATTAAAAATTTGAGTTCAGCCTAGACAACTTAGCAAGATCCTGTCTTGAAACACAACAAAAAGGGCTAGACCCTGAGTTCAAGCCCTAGTACCCTACTCCCCCGCAAAAAGAAGCAAAGAAAAGAGTGCAGAATATACTGATGACTATTCATGCACAGAAAAAAAAGAACCTACAGGAAGACTCGGGGGCCTGGTGTGGGTAACCTCTGGGGACTGGCACGCAGGGGACAACTGCCACTTTTTATTTTACACAGGTCTATCATTTGTACTTTCTTTAAAAATTTCCTGGGTGTGTAATATAGGCAGGTTTAAAAAACATTAAAGGGAGGTCTGGGGTATAGCTCAGTGGTATGGCACTTGCCTAGAATGTGCAAGGCCCTGGGTTCTGTCCCTAAGCATTGCAAGAAAAAAAAAAATAGAGGACACGTTAAAAAGGTCCCTTTCTCTCCTCCTCCCATCCTACCCTCCCAGCCTGCAGCCCTAGAGAGCCACTGTAACTGGTTCTTTCATACCAGCAAATTCCCATGTACCACTCCTCCTGGGTTTGCTTTGATTTGGTTTGACTCACTGGTTGAGAACTGCTGTTTAGTTGTTGCCATTGGTTTTTTTGGGTAGCTTTTGGTTATGACATGCTGTGGAATAAGATCTGTTTGTGAGATTCCTCACTGTCATTTTCTTCCTGTCTCTTGCCTTGGGATTTGTTGAGCTTCTTGGATCTGTGAGTTTATAGTTTCATCAAACTTGGAAAAATGTCACCCATATTTCCTTCCAATATTTTTTTTTGATACCGGGGATCGAACTTAAGTCCTTGTGCTTGCGAGGCAGGCAGTGGAACCACTGAGCTAAATCCCCAGCCCTTCCAATATTTTTTTCCTGCTCCCCCTGCCACTCTGTTATGGTTTAGATCTAAACTGTGCTCAAAGTCTCAAGTTGGAAGTGGGGCCTGGCAGGAAGGGCTGCATTCCCTGGGGTGTGGCTCAGAAGAGTATGTCCTCACCCCAGGCTCCTCCCCTCCCTGCTTCCTGGTCACCATGAGGTGAGCAGCTTCCCTTCGCCATGCCCATCCACCATGCTCTTCCTGCCTCGGCAGCAATCATGAGCCAAATAAATCTCTCCTTTAAGTGTGAGCGCCAGGTATTTTGTCTTAGCAATGGGAAAGCTGTCAGTGACATTAATTATACATATGTCTTCCCTTGGCGCTTTTGTACTATTACTGTTCTCTTTGTGCAGATGAGGAAACTGAGGCCCCAGAGGGTCAGAGCTCTGACCCAGGCCAACCCCAGCATCCAAGCCGACGCTGCCTGGCTTTGCTGCACGTCTTGGGCAGGGACAGAGTGAAACTCACCTGCTTGCCTCTTCTCGCTCTGAGGCCGGGCTGTGGAAGGGCTGGTCATATACTCTCCTGTAGAGATCAGGCAGCTCAAGCATTCTTGTAATTTGAATGTTCCACATCGGGTCATCCACTTTATCTAACAAGACCCCGGAGAGAGATGCCACAGAGATTACAGCACGATCAGGTCCAGACTGTGATGACAGCAGGCTGGATGCACCTGACAGCTCCCAGTCAGCCCAGGAGCGGGAAGGCCCTGCCCTGAGCACCAGGAGTGACCTGGAGCAGGTGGACTAGCACTGTGCAGTCATTCGACTGCTACTCTGGCACACAGCAGGGACTGCCCTTGGTATTGCGAGCTGAGCAGCAGCCCACGCAGCCAAAGTGGGGATGGTGCAGGTTTGCCCCATTTCTGAGGGAGTTGTTTTCACATAAAGTGAACAGCTTCAGGGTGCTCAAGAAACCTCCGTGAGTTTGAAGAGGGTGAATGATCTACTGTAGTGGACTGACACTTAAAATTTCAAAGTGTCCAAATAAACCTGCCAATTAGATATAACCATTATATACCTATAATTAACTTTCTTCAAAATAAAATTCAGAAATGCTACACCAATTAAAGAAAGCATGTACACCTCGTAATTTCCCCCATTAGAGTTATGTCTTCTAAACTTTTTGGAAGTCTGACTTTTACCTAAATAAGAGCTCACTGAACACACACCCAGAATAGCAACCAACACGGCAGGAACACGGTGTGCTTACAGTAAGTGGTAGCATGAACTTCCCGCTCTTCCCTGTACGTGCGGAGGTAGCCTCTGACTCGGATAACATCCCCAAGTTCTACCCTGCTTCTCTGCTCGATGGTCTCTTGCAGCTTCTCAAGCTTCGAAATCACACTGAGCTCTCTTGCTGAGCCTGGAGCAGCTGTGAGGGCCGACAGAGCAGAGAGGCATGACCCCACAACGCCACCACACTGAGAGGCTGCACCAGGGGAGCCGGCACATGTGTTCTCCTAGGCACTGGCCCTGCCACAGGGACTCCTCGGAGCCTCTGGAAATACTCTCAGAGCAGGGGGTATAAGCCGTAATTTTCAGAAGCAAAATGAGGAGGACCGGGGATTTGGCTCAGTGGTGCCGCCGCCTGCCTGAGTGTGATCCCCAGTACCAAAAAAGGTAGAATGAAGGGAGCAGAGTAGCCGAGGCCAAGAGAGTGGGCCCCAGGCAGCTGCAACGCCTGCTCTCCCTCCTGTGTACAGGCAGTGCGGTCACACGGCTCTGTGTGTCCCAGGGTGCAGTGAGACAGTGTGTGCCAGGTGTTCAGTTTCCTGGTGACAACCGGTCTCAGACCCTCCAGTGTCTGTGCAGATGCCCCACTGAGCGCTCCTGGCCCAGGCTATTGATGGAGAACCTTTTAGAGACTGAGTGCCCAAGCCCAACCAACCCACTTACCACACAGGGCCAAGACTGTAATTAAACCTGAACACTGAAGTTCTGCTGCAGAAAAAACAACTCCTAAACACGATGTCATCGCAGAGAGGCTCTGGTGCCTGCCACGGACACCGACCGGAGGTTCGCGCAGAGCTCATCGCTCACCTCTCACGACGGAGGAACTGACTCTCACACTGCACATACACGTTCACACTCACTCTGCATGATGGAAAGACACCGATGCACTCAATCCTAAGGAGCCTTCATCACCAAAGTGCCTGCAAACTGCGCGAGAGCAGCCGGGGGTGCCAGTGTACCTCACAACCCCTCCCTCTGTGCAGGTGGGGAAGCAGCTGAGGCGGCAAAGTGGGGGCTGCACAGCCCTCCAGCTTGTCCTGCACTGTCTGCTGCCTGCCCCACAGACTCCCGCTTCGCACAGCCATTGTGATCAGCATAAACGACTTTATGTTGTTTTTCGGCCCAGCATAAATCCAAATACACTCATGTATCCCGCAGAATCTGCACACCACAGCATTTTAACTAGCAACACAGCACTCTGTCTTACTGAGGACAGTTTACTTAGCTCGTCTCACTCAGTATGTCTCTTTTTATAGTTAAAAAGTTTTGTTAGCTATGCAATAGGGATGACGAGACCCCTCACAAACACAGCTGTGTGAGATCTAGTTTTATGTGTATGATCTACTTTAACTCTCACCTCATGAACTTTGACCAACGTCAGATCCACAGGAGTGATAAATACATGCTATCTGTGAAGCTCTGGACAAAACTGTTTTGTTATCTTTGGGGGTCTTCCATTAGGCTTAGTCAGTAATGCACCATCAGAATGTCTGCCAGAAAAAATAACCGCCCACCCAGTCTTTACACAAGGACATCGGCAAGGCGCTTCTGCTGCCAGGACGTTTAACTCCTTAGCAGACACAACTCGAGTCCATGAAGTTTTATTCTGCTCTAAATTGCAAGAGCCACTCACATATGAGATGACCCACTTGCTACTACTCCTTTATGGACAAGCCCTTCACCTCCTTAGCTTTGTTAGTTTCTTTTAAATGTCAGGACATTTCATCAGTGAGCCTTATTACACACACCCTCTACACTCCACTTTCTTTTTCACGTTTTTTTTTTTTTGGTACTAGGGATCAAACTCGGGATCTTGCACTTGTGAGGCAGGCAGCAGAACCACTGAGCTAAATCCCTGGCTCTTTTTCACATTTATATAATTTCATTCTGCTTTACAAAAGCTTTAAAAAAAATCTTGATTTTTGAGTCTATCCCTCTAGACGCTGGAAACAGTTTTGTGTTTTAACTGCCAGGGACTTAGGAGAACTTGACGTGTTTATTGGGAATAATAAACACCTGTCTTCTTTGGGTTGTTCCACACATGCTGTAAGACAGGAAACGTGGTGAAATCTTTTAAACATTGTTATCTACCTGAAGCAATGACTCTGTCACACGCTGATTCATGTCCTGAGGTTGCACTATTTGTGGCTTGGCTTCTAACAGGGCTTCTATGGAGGGTGAGAGTTTCGGCCGCTCGGTCACATACCCTGCCCCGATACAATGCGGGCAGCCATGCTGTCCTGCTCAGAGGCCTTCACTGTAACACCGGTGCTGCACCGAGGGGGTCGGGGGAGGCACATCCGGGGACCCGTGCACACACAGTAAACAGCACCGAGGAAACCAGACAAAAGCAGCGTCGGTGCCGCTCGGCACACTGGGTTTCTCCGCAGAACACAGGCCAGGGTCACCGCCTGAAAGTCTGACTCCTCCATGCTCCTGACCCCAGGCGCTCTTCTTCAGGTGAGGGTTCAGGGCGTTTGTAACCCTAACCTCCATTACACAGACTTTACGGGTGATGATAAATGCTGAAATGAACAGGCCAATGGTCGGTCTGCCAACAAGCCCAGCTTTCATCCACAAGGTGTGCCAAACTGCCCGAGTCGGCTCCAGCCAGCAGTGCCATGAATGGGATGGGGCGGCAGGAGCCCAGCTGGGCTCGTTTTAAGTGGTCTGTGTCATCCTGAAAGATAAATCCCCTCTTCCTTTCTGATACTAGGACCAAGCTTTCGTAGCTGTGCTCATCAGCTAAGTCCACGCGGTACACTGAGTGCGACATTTGTAAGCGTCAACATTATCTTCTTCTTTGACTGGAACATGGGTTGGACTTACACTAAATTTTATTTAAAAGTTTTTGTCTCCATTGCCCACTTTTCGATGGAAAGCTTTTAAACTTTGGACAATTACATTGAAAAGAGAGAACGGGCAAGTTGGGAGCAATTTAAAAACATCACTTCATGTGTACCGAGATGATAATCATTTCCAGGCTTTCTTCTGATATTCTTCTCTCTTCATATTTGCAGAGAACTTCAAATCAAGGCTACCCTCTGTGATTGTTACTGATTCATTACTGATCGACATTTAAGAAATCTTACTGTCCAGATGAATGGCCATTTTGTTGATCTAAAAGTTACTAAATATAAGAATTATATAATTCTCCTGATGTCATTTCTTTTAAAAAAAGTCAATTGGGAAAATTCCTTAAAATCATATCTAAAACAGAGGTCTGCAGACCATGGCCCCCAGCCCAGGTCTACTCACTGCCTGTTTTTCTAAATAAAGCTCTGTGGGGACACAGCAGGCCCATTTGTTTATGTATCACCCATGCCTGCTTCTGTGGTCAAATGCAGGTATTAAGTAGCTGAGACGCAGACCCCAAGTTTCTAGAGGCAGTGGTGGCAAAGCTGGGGCACGCATGTCACAGCAGGCACAGAGCCCTCTATCGGCATCCAGCCAGGTCGCCCAGCAGCTGAGCATCGGACAGCAGCTGTTTCTTCTAAACTAAAACCCGAGTATTCAGGTTTAACTGCAGTGTTGGTGCTTTGTGATAAATAAGTGGGTTTGGCTTGCAGTTTAGGCGCTCGTCTCTAAAGGTTCGTCATCACTGTTCTAGAGGTTCACGTCCAAAACCAGGCAGCCCACTCAGAGAGTCCAGGCGCCAGCAGTCACACAGAGCCAGGAGACAGTCAGAGACCTGAGTATCAGCCCCTGTAAGGCGCTGCCTCCAGTGACCTAGGGACCTCACGCTAGGCCCTGCCTCTTGAGTGGCCACAGCGCCTCCTGCTATGGCCACCCCCACCCTGAGGAGTGGGCCTTTACGGGTGACCTTTTGGGGACATTCATCCCAGCCACAGCATCAACACAGCAGCCTTGACCTAGTACTCTGCATGCATGGCTCCAGGCTGAGTGTTTTATAAAACAGGGAAAGGGAGCTGCCAATTCCTGTAGCTTCTCCAGAGCCAAAAATGATCAGCAGTATTGTACAATACTTTTTAAATAGTATGAACCAAACTTTTAAAATTACCCAAGAAGGCAGAGGTTGTAGCTCAGGGGTAGCGTGCTTCTTAGCATGCACCGGCAGCACAAAACAAACCAAAGGAGTACTCAGGAATTATTAAAGTGCATGTCAATGACCCCAAATGTTGTTTCAGTTAGGCAATGGGTACAATATACAATTTTAAAGCTCTTTGCAGTTTATATTACTTAATGGCTAACTTCCAAAGGAATCCCATCCTAACAACCTTAGAGGCCCTGGTATCCAGCTTAATATATTAGAAATTCGGAAAATCTGGATGATAGCCGCAGAGGGGCTAGCAGGAAAAGCAGTCTCCAATTCTGGTCAAGGATTACAACCTGGAAGAAATGAGCAACAAAGAGATGGGAGAAAGAGAAGTAATTGCACATTACCCACCCTGGTGCCAGTTTCAGAGCAGCCGAATCTGAGTACTGTGTTCCAAGTCCCTTGCTGCATGCCACGGGAGAATGAAAGTGAAAACTCAGCCCTAGAGCTGCTCCAATGAGCCGCCTTGAGTGAAATCCAGCGGCTAGCCAAAGAGCAGAGGAAGAGGCAAGCAGAATTACCTGGTGAAGACTTGGCACTGCTTGGCTTCTTCCAGCAGATGCAGTTTATAACTCCTGTGCTATCATCCACTGCAAGAGAAGCACAGAAGGGTAGGAGAGATCTAAGTACAGCTGGTGAGCTCACGAGTCATCATTACCCTCAGCCACATTGAAAAATGACATTTCTCATAAGCTTAGATGGGGAAAGCCCTTAGCAGAGTTCTCCACCTTTAAAATCCAGTCTCTCCCCATATACCAGTGTGGCCTGCACACACGTGAGCAGAAAGTATGCGCCCAGTGGGCAGCGCCCAACACTTCCCTACCCTGCCCAAGAGTGCCAGCAGGCCTCATCTGCACCCCGCTGCCAAAAGTGGCATCCTAGGCAGTTCCTGCGGAGATCTCCACGACTGCCCACACACAAGGTCAGCCTTTCGCTCCATCCTGAAGACAACATCACACAGCCTGCGGTCGAGGGCACCAGCGCCCAGGGCAGAGCCTTCTGTTACCACCTCTCTTTCTCTAGCCGCTGGGGTCTCAGGACAAAGGGTCTCACGTTGTTTGGCCAGGGCTTCTCTCTGCCCAGTTCTTACCCCTGCAGGAGATGCAAGGGGAGCCAAGCATAACACAGAAGGGCACCATTTTATTTTCCTAATAGAAAATAGTTATATCCTGGCCACAAAAAATAGTACTGGTTCAGCCTGTTTTACTTCTAATACAAAACAAGCCAAATAATTCCCATGGTACCTGTAGAATAATTGGGAGATTTTTCTTTGCCTAGTTTCTGACAGACTCAGAATCAAGGTTACTAAGCACAGAGTAGTGGGCCTCGTAATTAAAGAAGAGATTAAGCAGACTGCTGTGAAATCACACATAACATAGAAGAAATGTAAGGCCAAAATATTTTATTGTAGGTTTGAATCTATGTTGAAAGAAAAAGTCAAGAATACATCTTAAAGTAAAATAAATTCTAGATGTGTCTCATTATATTAGAAAACATGGGTTAATATTTCAAGGTTTTGGTTGGTGGGGAAAGACAGCTTTAAGCACAACCAGAAAAAGAGAATCTGTTTTTTTTTTCTTCAACATTTGAGTTTATTGGTACATTTTAGGTATACAGTACAGTTACATTCATTATTGGGACCTTGTACCTTTACATGACAGGTCTTGGTTCTCACTTTTTCCCCTTGTCCCTGCCCTCCCTCCACTCCCTCGGCCCCTCCCCATTTACAAACACTTTATTTCCATTTTTTCATCCTATTTTTTTCTTTTCCCTTATTCCCTTTCCCCTACCCTTCCCACTTTCCCTATATCTTTAGCCCTTTTCTTCCTATTTCACATTGTCAGTTATCTCATTAGGATCTTATGTATTATTATAGTTTTTCACACCAGAGAAACTATTTGGTATTTACACATGTGTGACTTATTTGTTAAAGCTAGATGTCAGTCTAAGTTTTAGAACAAAGGAAGAATGGGAAACTAAGAAAAGGAAGACACAATCGCTCATAATGACCATAAAAAGAAAATCCAAAAGAAAGTCCGTTTTTCTCACAGACACTGATTGTCTTCTCTAAATTAATAAAAATTATTTTAACATAAACTATATTTAAAAAAAGTAGAAACTCTTCAAGTAACTAAAGATAATGCTCTAAGGCCATTTTCACAGCTTTTTTTGTTGTTGTTTTAAATGCCATTACATCTAAATTAACTCACATTTGACCAAATATTTCTAAAACAGTCCAGGAGAACTTGGTTTTTTAAAAAGTCTGACAATTCTTGCTGATGGACAGCAATTTTCTAAATGATGGGGTTAGTGTCTAAATATATAAAGAGCTCATATAATTTAGTAAGACCAAGCCACAAGAGAAAAAGTGGCAAAAAAGAATATGCACCTAAAGGAAGATACAAGCATGACCAATAAACGTGTCAGTGTGCTAAATTCACATTTATCATGAAAAAAGAGCCGGTTTAAATAATATCTCATCATCTGTTAGATAATGATATTCATATGCTGTGAGTGGAAGTTTAAATTAGCACTAAATTTCTACAGTGCAAGTTTAAAACATACATCAAATTTTGAAATGTATATATATCCTCTGACCTAGCAATTGCTTCCAGTAAACTACACCAAGGAGAAAAACAGAATGAGCGTGTCGATTCAGACACCTCCTGTAAGGCTGTTCACTGGGGTACTGTTGATGACACTTGAAGCTGTAAATAACCTAAATGTTTACAAACATGGAACTGACGGAATAAGTGACAGTAACAGTGCATGAGGATAAAGTGTTGCAGTGAAGATCCACACTCACCGCTAAGATACCGGTGACTGACTGTAAAACCGAAATCTTACATATCTTAGAAGTCTTACATATAATCTATGTAAAACAAACAGTAAAATGTAACATAAATTATACATTTTTTCCAGTACCAGGGATCGGACTCAGGACCTTGCGCTTGCCAGGCAGGGGTGGCACCACTGAGCTACATCCCTGGCCTTGGAACATAAATGATTTTAAAACACTGGGTGCTAACAGTATTTTTTTTAGCATATGGGAAAAGAACCCCACATTCAATGTATGCACTGACTGTGAGTCTAATTTCAAACATAAAGAAGACAAGACATACGTACAACAGCACCAAGGAAATAAGGCATTTGTTAAATATCAGCACATCAGGAATATCAGGAACAATGTTCACCCAAACTAGAACACTGTTTTTGTCTGGTTTATCGAATTTCACATGACTTGTATGCACATCATTAACACTGTCTCTAGTTTTAAATTCCCTTTCATAATGAGTATCACTTAAAGAAGCAAAGAGTTACCAAGGACATCTGGGTTTAAAGAAGGTATGATGTATCCAGGTGCACAACTTCTTGGGATAGTTGAAACTTCATTTATGATGGAAACTCAAAAAAACAAAACAAAACAAAAAAATACCCCTGAGTAGATGAATGTCTGCCCTAGGAAACACGAGGTCTTTCTGGTCTTGGCCCAAGCCTCCCAAAGCCTGCAGTCTGAGGTTCTCTGTGCACTGTGGGCACCGCCACCAAACCCCAGCTTCCCTGGTTTACAACCTCTCTCAGCAGCCCCCGAGTCAGGGTCCCACGGCCTGCTGCCTCCCCAGCTTGGTGGCACTGTGGGCACCAGAATGTGTCAGTGTGGGCAGAAGCACCCCCAGCTCTGGCCTGTGGTGAAATGGGCAGCGGGGTGTGGCTGCCTGGAAGGTAAGCTGAGAGCCACCTTGGGCCTGAAGACAGCAGGGACAGAAGCGGCTCACCACTGGAACAGGCCAGGTGAGAATGAGTCACAAAAGCAATTCTGATTACTTCCACATTCAGATGTCTCTGTTTCCGTGCAGCCCACACATGTGGCGGGCTACTGGCTCAACTCAGAGGGAAAGGATTCTTGGGAAGAGTCAAGCACACAGCCTTAATCTTTCCATAACGGGAAGAGGGCATAAGTGATGCTCTGTTAGGTCATAGGCTAATTTTGACCTGCTTCCAGAGCCAGGACTGAGGTTTCAACAGTCTTCCTTACTTCATCTGAAAAGCAGAAAACAAAAAACCAGATCCAGATGATTTGGGGCTGCGGCCCTGGACAAGGAAGGAGATGAAAGGAGAGAGACACCTCTTATATGTAGTCTGCAGAGTACACAGAAGACTGGACCCACAAATCTCCATCACTAGAACCCTAAGCAAATTCCTGAGCTTCAGTTTTCTCATCTACAAAATGGAAATAATCTGTCCTTTCTATTTCAAAAGACCAGTGCTTCGGCAGCACACACACTAAAAAATACCAGGGGGAAAATAAGGTGAATGATGACTGTAACAGTGCTCTGTAAGCTGAAAGACACTTATTTTCTCACTAAAAGGCAGGCAGGAAGTACTTTATTGTACTACAGGTAAATGCACTCGCCCACAGCTCACTGTGCCCACTCTGAGAAACACAGGACCAATCTCTTTGGTCAGATAAAGCAGAGGAGAGATTCAGTGTGTGGGTGCCTGACAACAAAGTGATCTATTCCAGATTATGCACTGAGAAAAAGCAGAAGGCATGGGAGATCTCATCTCTCACACATTATTTTATAAGCAGCAGATGGCCATCGTCAGGAAAATGAACTAATGCTGAAGAATGCAGTGATGTATCTATAATTATCAATCGTGCACAGACTGCCAAGGAAAATTCTTGCTCACTAAGTCTGATTTCTTCCATCTCCCCTCAAGTAGAGCAAAAATACAGATCCAAGGCAGCATCCCCAAAAGCAACAGTGTCCATTATGGCAAAGGTTTGGAATTCAGTGAAGTTTCCCACCAAATACTTAACTTGGCCTCTTAACTAGAGAATCTTGAGGATGTAAAAGGAAATACATTAAAATACTTACGTTCAGCTCAAAACAATCAAGAAGCACTATGCTAAAATCACACTCTAACAACTCTCTGGTATCCAAAATCTAGAAACCCTTTATAAAGTGTCCTTCATCATAATGGAGAACTGCTCTGAGTACCAAACAGCTTTTTAAAACATTCTTCTGGATATAGATTTATTGTTCACACCTTCGTGTCTCCCAAGAGTCCACTCCGACATTAACCTGGCCCCTTCTTTGGGAAGCATCATCATCACCACAGCCTCCAGCTGTGTCTGGGTTCAGGCGTCCACCCTGCTGATCCGCTACCCTGCAATGCTGTGTTTTCACCCTTCCGCCTCCTGACTCCTGGTGGCGGCCGCTTTACGGTGTCACTGGCATCACTCTACCTCGTCTTGTTTGACACTCAGTCCACCTGTGGGGTTCGAAGAGGCCCCCGGCAGAGGACTGTGATTTATGGGGGTCCCCAGCAGCTCTGAAAGGCCAGGGCTGTGTAAAATCCAGCTTTTGGCTACATGGGGACTTTCTACCACAGCTCAATTTTGAATATAACCGCTCTTACCTCCGTAACTGTAGAAAGTATCTCTTTCTTTCATTGCAATGACGGTTCCCAGGATGTCTACTTGTTTTATTGGATGCCCATTGTATAAAAAGATACCTAAATTTTTAAAAAAGCAAAGTTATAGATGATTAATTTTCTGCTTCACTAAATGTCTTTTGGGGGTGGTGCAGTGGACGCAGAAAGTGGAAGCGGGCTGCGATCCCAGTCTTAAAGAAGAGCCCTTAGAGATGGCTCCAGGAAACCCAGGTCACCTTTGCAAAGGTCACGCAGAAAGTCTGGCTTTCGCTAAGGTTTCACTTGTGCAGAAACGGGAAAACTAGTGCAAGATTTAGTGAATTGGCTTTCTACATGTGAACGCGAAATTACCTCCAAGAACACTCACAGGCCTGAAAATGGTCATCCCACGATGGGACCGACACAGGACAGGAAAGAGAAAGGAGACCCATGAGAATGTCTTCTCTGACTTTTTTTAACCAGTGCTTCCCTAAGAAATGGGTCATAATTTCTACGAACTAGTGAGAGCCCCACCTTTCTTTTCTTTCTATATATCAAAAGATGATATATAGATTGCAAAATACTACCCGTTGGGGCTGGCAGATTACAAGACAAAAATTTCAAAAACTTTTTTTAAAAACTCTGTTTTCAACTGGGCATGGGGATATAGGCCTATAATCCCAACACTCAGGAAACTGAGACAGGAGGATCTCCATGAGTTTGAGGCCAGCCTGGGCTACACAGTAAGACTCTGTCTCAAAACAAAAAAAACTAAACACCAAAACAAACACAAAAAACCCCCTCTGTCTTGAAATCTCAGAGTAGAGATTCTGGCAGCCAAGTTCCTGCTAGAGGAGCAATCTGAGGGAGCCTGTTTTCTGGACCTGGGAGCTGGGTCTGATTCTGACTCCCGGCCCCTGCAGAACCACCCTTCTGCTCCTGCCCTCCTCACATGAGCTCCCTGCTTCCACTTAAGTGACATGTGCTGTGGTCCTGTCGCCTGGCCCAAGGTACCCTAGCTTCCTCTCCAGCCTCTGCCCAGCAATGGCTGGGCGCTACTTCCAGCAACAGGTTATCCACTTCTGAGTGGCCATTCTCTTTCCAAGTAAACATGTGGATTATAAACAAAGAGGCCATGATCACCTCGGGTGCTTGCCTACCTCCTTCCCTCCTCAGTCAGAGCCTGGTCAGAGTCTCCGCGCTCCAAGCCTGGGGGACTTGTGGCCTGGGCAGGCTGGCCGCTGCGGAAGGCTCTCTTGTTCCGTCTGAGGACAGAGGGCTGGGGGCGAGTTGCTCACCACACAGTCCCAGGGGCAGATAAAGGACCCGAACCTCAGTCTGCTGGGCAGAGGCAGGAGTGAGGTGGTGGGAGAAAAGAAAGCACACAAAGCAGGCTCCAGCACTCCGCAACCATGCTTCTCAAGAGGACTCTGCACAACCAGGGGGCCATGAGCTGAAAACGGCAAGGCCACAGAAGAGCAGGAACAGGGGTTGGATGCCACCCCAAAAAGTCGCCCCCATCCAGGAGCTGGGCCTGAATGGGGATCCACAGAGAACATATGAACTTTTAAGGCCTTTAAGATGGACGAACAGCTGGGCCCCTGGTGCTCTGCCTGGGTTGAGATCTTTGGAAAAGGCACTGAGAGAGAAGACTGGACTAATGGTACAGCCAGTGACATCTCCAAGTCACCTACAAACTCTGTACCTTGCAAAAATAAAAACAATAGCCAGGCGTGGTGGTGCATGCCTGTAATCCAGGCACTTGGGAGGCTGAGGCAGGAGGATCACCACAAGTTTGAGGCTAGCCTGGGCTACACAGTGAGTTTAAGACCAGCCTGGACCACACGGCGAGACCCCGTCTCAAACAAACAAACAAACAAACAAAAAATAAATACAAACAATGACTAGGTATTCAACTGAGGTCATAGTAGGCTTCCTCAGAAAAAGGACTCACTTGGGTCCTACAAACTTCTACTCCACAGGTTGCCTTTGAGGACACAATGAATCCTTCCATTCCCAAAATGCAACATCGTAAAAGCATCACTAAAAAGAGAAGACAAGAACAGCAGAAAAGTAACACAGGGCATGAATGTGAAATCTCCATGGAAACCAGAGGAGGAGGAAATGCATTATGTACAAATACAGCAGAAATGTCTCACAGTACACGGAAACACGCACCGAGCGAATGAGGTGCTCAGTGTCTACAAAAAGACAGTTGAAGATATGGAAAAGATTAGTGAACCACTTCCTTCAGAGCAAGACTTTTCCTATGAGAAGGGAGCTCCAGGGAGTTGGAGAGAAGTGCTGTGGATCCAGAGAAAGGCTAAGAAAATGATCACCAGGACAGGTTATATGTGCCATCAACAAAAAGACATTAAAAAGAAAATGATCACAGACAAGCGCTAGCGCCCTCATGTGCCAGCCTTACCGTGAGGCCCTTCTGTGCCTGCTCTTCCCATGTAGCCCAGAGGCCTGTATGTACCAGGGGACCCTCACATCCTTCAGGCTCCCAGGAGGAGGAGGGGGCACTGCTGCGAGGGATCGGGGACCAGGCTCACAGGCAGCTTTAAAGCAGACTTCAAATGGCTGACCTTGAACCTCACATCCACAGCAAGACATGTGCCTACTACCTCTTCTTAAAAGTATGGCACTTTTGATGGATCTCCTTTCCAGTATAATTGCTATTTCACTGATGCTGTACTTGCTCTCATTGAAATCTGACAGCAAAAAAAAAGTACCCAAGATGGTATTTTCACAGATCTATACTAATACAATTCTTGTGAACATAGTCATCCCGGGTATTCATGGGAGGTGGGGTCCAGGACCTTCTGTTGATATGAAAATCCAAGGATGTGCAAATCCTTATAGAAAAATGGCCATTAGTATTTGCACATGACTTACCATGTTCTCCAAGTAGTTTAAATCGTCACTTATTTTAGTACCCACACAATACAAATGCTATATAAGTAGTTGCTATACTAGACTGTTTAGGGGAAAAGAAGTAAAAGACTATAACTCAGTATCGACACAAACTTTTCCCAAATATTATCAACTCGAGATTGGCTGTGCCTATGGATGAGGAACCTGTGGAGAGGGAGGACTGGCTGTACAGTACACCTACTTCACTGTGTTAGGAAGAGAGTGTAAGTGTTGTACATTGATCTAAAAATATGAGACTTATTGTGGCATTGGGATGTCTATTTTTTAGTTTTCATCCGTGGTTCCTGGCTTATAATTTGCTTCAACACAGGTCTCAGAAACTAATTCCGCTACATTTAGGTGGCCACAAAGAAATTCTCGACTGATCCTGTCCGAGAGTAGGCCATAAAAACCCCTCATTCAAGAGGGGTCCTGCCCCACACCCTGGGGGAAGGAATACTTCACAGAGAGGCCATGAAGAACCTGGACAGGGAAGTCTACAGCCATACCACCCGGACTATGCCCGATCTCATCTGACCTCGAAAGCTAAGGGTCGGGCCTGGCCAGAATCTGGACGGGCCGGTCTTGCTTGCTGGCTTATCTCGTTTCTTAGCAGTGGGTCAAGGCATTTTGTCCGGCTACATTTCAACACAGCTGTCCACACTTCCAACATGACCATGCAATGAAGTCTCCATAAACCCCAAAATGTGGGGCTGAGAGCTTCCAGGAGGGTGGCGCCAATGGGGAGGGCACGGCAGCTCAGCACCACCTCTCCTCCAGCTTCCTAGCCATCTGCCAGTAGCTTCTGTAACGCCCTTCGTGATAAACTGGTAAACATGCTTCCCTCAGTCACGTCAGCAACCCATTTGTGGGAACCCTGATTACCACCAGACAGTCACAAGCAGTGAAAACAACCCAGGGCTTTCAACTGGCACCAGAAAAGGCGTCTTGGGAACACAGCCCTCAACCTCTGGGACCCGACACCATCTCTGGGTAGACAGTGTCAAAACTGACCTGGATTAGAGGACGGCCAGCTGGAGTCCACTCTTGCTTGCTGGTTGGGGGGAGACCACCTTATACCTTTTGGGGTCACAGCTTTCTACACTGTGATGTAAGAGCAGAGACAAAACAAGATAGTTTTGTTTCCTAACACACAGCTAGTTTTAAATCAAAGTTGGACATGTGAAGACATTTAAAACACAGACTATTTCTGTGTTTTATGAAGTATTATTGTTTTTTTAATACAAAAAGCAAAACCCATAAGCAACGTAAATATCATCACCGTTACAGTCAAACTTGACAAAATAGTTATTGTTAAACCCTAAATTCAGTTTTAGGAACATGACATTTTTACAGTCATCTTGCAATTCATTTCTAATGCTAAATTCCCAGTTAGATTAAATTTTACAGGTGTAGAGCACAACCCCCCACAGAAGGGCCGTCACCTCAGTTACTAGCCCCAATTTCTGTGGGGATCCCCGGGCAACCTTCACTTTTGACCAACTGGCCGTCGATGTGGGGTTCCCATGACTCCCTCAGGTGTAACAATCTGCTAGAAGACACGCAACTCAAAGTGCTATACCTGTAGTTCCGCAATGGAAGGTACAAATCAGGACCCACTAAAGGAAGAAATGGCATAGGACAAATGGGGAATCCAAACGTGAAGCTTCATATTCTCAGACACAGACTCTGACACACCAATGTATGACCAGCCAGGAACACTCACCCAGGCCTCAGAGTTTTTACTGGGGTTTCATAATGTAGGCATGACTGACTCACAACCATATGAATGAACTCCCTGAATCTCCAAGGGCTCAGACTGATTTAACTTGGGCCCAAATCCCAACCAATGGAAGGCTAACCTGTGGTGTGAAACTGAGGGGGCCACATAAGGCACCTATGAGCATTACTCAGTATGGCTTCAGTGGCAGGCTGTCACAAACAGCAGAGACACTCCTACCCCTCAGGAAATTGCAAGGGTTCAGAGGTCACCTCCCAGGTCCCAAGACAAAGCCAGGCAAGTTCTTTATCATAGCAACCCTGGATTTATGTTTCATCATTTTTGGGGGCTAAGCTTTGTGGTTTTAGGATTTTTTTTGTGTGGTTGTTGTTTAAACATTTCTAAATTTCATGTAGTTACAAATTTCCTTTGTGTATGTATGTGTGAGTGTGTGGGGATTGGATCTGAGGTGCTCTACCACTGAGCTACATTCCTGGCCCTTCTAAAAATTTTAAGATAGGATCTTGCTAAATGGCCCAGGCTGGCCTCAAATTTGCAATCCCCTTGCCTCAGCCTCTTAAACAGCTGGAATTACAGACATTCACTGTCATACCCAGGTGCAAGTTTCCTCTTTATGGAAAACCAAACCAAACCAAACCTAACCAACAAAGCAAAAACCTAGACAAGTGATGTTCTCTATTCCTCTGAACCCTAGTTTAGTCTGAAGAAAATCACTAAAATTGTGGTTGATATCTACTTCAATCATGAGGTTTCCTTAAAAAAAGAGAACACAATACTAGTTTTCACTGGGTTGTTTTAGCACATCCTAACACCTTCTGCCTGAAGGAAGTTAAGCCCCTGCATCTGTCTCTGATGTTTGCTTGCTCACCCACAGATCTTTAAGCATTTCGTGGGAATTAATTTCTTCCTGAGGAGAGGAGCTATGAAGAATACCAGATTGCTGTGGAAAATGGAACACTACGGGGGAGGCTGGCTGCCTTCCAAGGCAAAAAACAGACAACGTCCAACAATAATGAGGAAATGAAGGTGTGGTGAAAAATCCATACAAAAGGCTTCAGTGTAAGGTCATCCAATGAACTCTCATCGCAGTAAAACTGTGGCTGCTTGAGATTCCTCCTTCTGACTCACACACAGCCAGCTATTCAGAAGGCTCATGACCAGAAAGCTATTAAGAGTAAAAAAGTTTAAACAAACATCTCATATAGTACAGTAAACACATTAAGAGCCACCCACAGCTACTTGAATTATTCAAATCTACCCCAAATCACATTTGTTGTACTTTTAGGCACCTTCAGTAACCACTACTCTAAAAAAAAAAGACTTTTGTTTTTTTTGAGACAAGGTCTCCCTATGTAGTTCAGACTGGCCTTGAACTCACTATGCAGCCCAGGCTGGTCTTGAACTCGAAGTGACCCTCCTGCCTCGGCCTCCCAGAGTGCTGGGATTACTGGGATTTCAGGCATGCGACACCACGTAAAGCTAAAAAAGATTTTATTTAACTATAAAATGTATAATGCTTTGTTCTTTCAATTGCTATTTCTTTTTTGGCTTTTTGAGATAAGGTCTTGCTATGTAGCCCAGCCTGGCCTGAAACAGGTGATCTCACTGACTCAACCTACCCGGAAGGTGCTCCCACTGCTGTTTCTTGAGGGTCCAATCACTACATGTCAAGTGCTCCTTAAACTGCTGTGGTTATACAGGTGAACAGATCCTTTCTCCCAGGGAGCTTATATTCTTTTGATTCTAATTCAACAAAAAACAAATCCTCACAAGATCAGGCACTGTGAACGCATTTTTACAAAGAAGAAACCTAAGCTTTACAGGTGAGCCACAGGTCCCACAGAGGGTAAAGGGCACAAAGAGGCTGAGGAATGCCTGGTCGGGCGATCTTTCCAAGAGACCAAGAAAAACAACTGAGAATTTTTCTATCTGCAAGACATACACTAGTAAAACCTTCCTCTGCACAAAGGTTATTCCTCCCATCTGTTTTTTTTAAAAATAGACTGTTTATAACTTGCAAAGAACTCACAAGAGGGTCCAAGCTAGGTCATTTTCAAAGTGGAAGCAGGGAAGGCCTCCTCATGGCCCCAGGCAGGCAAGGAGTGCGGACGCAGCACAGGTGACCTACCAGACTGCCCGGCCACGTACCTGGCATTTGGCGGGATTCCTTCATGGCCAGGATATCCCTGATGTAGAGTTTTGCAAAGGCTACAAACACAGGATCCAAACCCCACAAGAGGCAAGGAGTCTCGTCACACCGGCTAGATTCAGACTGCATCAGGGGACTGCGCTGTGGCATCCACTTTAACAAACCCTAAAGGCTCTGCTTCGCGTAGTCAGGGACCTGTGTGAAACACAAAAATCAGGACCGGGGAAGTTAAGTGGGGGTGAAACTGGCATGGCCTGGAAGCCGTCCCCAGGCGAGAATCCAGAACGCCGCAGGTGTAAGCCCAGGCGTCTGCAACCCAGTCAGGATCTTCCCCGAAACAACCTTTCACCCGGGAGCGCGCTGAACCGCTTCCACAAGCGGGTCCCGGAAGTCACCGGCACCCTTGCGGCCGCACATCAGCTGGGGCACGCTAGGGCTGAGCCGCGCAAGAAGGAAAGAGGAAACACAGGGACCGGCTGGCGGCCCCTCCCACCGCGCCCGCGTCCAGACCGGCTGCCCAAGTCCTGCCCACACCTCCCGCCCGCCACACACCC